CTCTGCAAGGGGTATAACTAGAAATCACGGGGCCCCATACAAAATTTTGCTATGGGGCCCTGTGATTTCTAGTTACGCCCCTGGGTGTGTGGATAGTTCCATTTTAAGACACAACAAGAAGGAAAACCATAAGTTTGACCTGAACCTAAGTCAATCTTGCTTTATGGAAATGGCAAACTAACATGGCTGTTCATGTTATATCAACCAATTACCAATAATGCACTTCCTAGTCTCTGAACTGTGGTCAGGTGTCTTAGAAGGGCCAATCATCAAGGTCTTCTTATGTGTTAGCAGCCTTTCATCAGCATGCCTTGGAAAATATATGAAGTGGTTAGGGAATAAAAACAGAGTGTTTGCAGGGATAGATAGGTGCTGCTGAATTCAATTCTTGCAGCTGTTTTTTTTCTCCCCCTGTTCACAGTTGCAACACAGGCAAAGTAAAGCTGTGAATAATTCACCAAACCATGCATGACACATATTCACATTTTTGCCTACACAGGTGAATGTGCATTTTTCCGCCTGCCCCCCCTGCACCCTCAGGCTGCAACCTTACGCCAGCCCTGCTTAAGCTACTTGAAGTCCACCCCTGTTGCAGCATTCTTCCCTCCAGAATACAGGTGTCATTATATATATTGGCTTGAGGCCACCCCTCCCTGCCCCCGTCATAATTAATAAAATTTCCAGAGGCTTCTTTTCTGGAGACTTCACAGCTAGAATTTTCCTTATCTAGAATCTTCCTTCCTCTTCTCAAACAACAGAGAAGATCCTGCCTGGTTACAGGCATAACGCTGGAGAAGTGTTGCAAATGCTTGATTGAATTACTCCACTGTGTTAGACAGCCTTGTGGCAGATTGGAGGAAGATTGCAGAGTGTTTGCAGGTGTTTGCATTATTGGTTGTGTGGACGCAAGCATCTTAGCAACCAACAGTCCTGCTGACTTGTTGGCAAAGTGACCTAAAATTAGGTGTCAGATTTGGGGAAACGGTGTAATTTCAGTGCTTGCTATAGGCACTATTTTAGGTAGATACCTCTGCTGTGGACAATCTTAGAGGTACACACATTAATACAATTGCTACAAAACAATGCTTCTCTTCCAGTTGTAGTGCCTGTGCTGAAGTTTCATCCTGTGAGAGTGTGCCCTCTCACTCTGCATTCCTGAGACCCCGCTTGTGTCTGGGAAGTACAGAGACAGTGAACAATGGGAGTTAGGTGACTGGACTGTGAAAAATAATACAAGGTCAAACTTCTTCTTTAAGCAGTGTTATCAGTACTGCACAGACTATAGTATAACATTAAAATCCTGACAGAGTTTCTAACCCTTCCTCATTATACTAGAAAATTTATTTTTACTGCTGTCCTTGTCTCCATTGAGGCAATTTTCCCTTACTTCCTGTTGTGTTTTACAACCATCAAATAGGCAAAAGGTAAAAAGGAATGTCTGGATCAAGTACACAAACAGCTATATAACCAGAGGTTCTAAATTTTCGACACACTAAACAAACCTAAAAACAAAGTTTGGGTTGGGCTTTAATGTAATGCTGGGCCATACATAAAACCCAACCTTAGTTCATACAATTGGAACGATCCTGAGAAAGTCTTTAATTCTCTGGCTCGCTATCCCATTGAAATATATGTATTACAAAAAAAGTCTGGAAACTGTTCAGCATCCCTGCCAAGAAAGTAAGAGAGGAAAAAGTGTAATTTAAATTCAAGAAGTGTTTTTATTTTATGGCACCGCAGTGGTGAAATAAATTGATGGCATGCTAAAATCAAAGTCTGACACATTCAACATTTCTAAGCATTCCTAATTAATGCCAGCCATTTATATTGAGTACACTTTTACTATTGATAAACATACGCACACATGTGCTCTAAAAGTATCATTTCTTATTGCCTTTTACAACCAGTCAGTTTACAACTGTCATTGTTACAGTCCAGGAATTTAAAATAAGAAAAATCAGAAATAAAACAATAGTTATCCAGATGTATATTTATTAACTGCAAGTAAAAACATAAATGTTATAGTACAAAACTATAACAGGGGAAATATTAAACACAATAAATTGGATGGCTGAAAACTCATATTGTTTGTCAGTAATCTAAATTAACTAAGGAAATACACTGCCTTGCAAAAAAAAATCCCCACCTGGATTCAGCTAAGCAAGTAAGTAAGAGCTATAGGGGTTGCTTCTTTTGGTCAGGTTTAGGTTTACAACATTATAGGGGTGTGAGATTTAGCTTCCAATGGTAGCGCATTAAGGACGCATCCACTCGCTTATGACTTCTTTTAAGGGCTTCCTTGCCCACTTTTATTGAATCCAACTCAAAAGTCCACACAAGTTTACCCTCACAGATGTTTCAAACACAAAGTACAGTTTTCTTTCTTCAGCAAAATAGCACTTTCAAAGTCCCCCGACTTTAGGTTGCGTGTTTACCAAACACTCTTCACCACACAGGTGACACACTCCTCAGTCCGCCAGCCACAGACTGGTCCCAGGGTGGAGCCCTCCTGACTCCTGCAGAGACCTCCTCTGTCACCCAGGTAGAGCCTTTAACCGTAACCCAGCATCCTCCTCATAAGCGCTGTGCACAGGTGCACCATTATTTGGTGCTGGTCACCACTAAAGCCCGGGCCCAGGAATGGAAATGTCTTCCCTCTCAGTTCGCTTAGAAATCTCCCGGCTGCAGGATCCCAACTATAATCCAGAAAACCCGGAATGAGTTGTAAAACCAGCTCTTTCCTAGTAACAGTACTTTCTTGGAGCCGCTCAGCCCCTCTGGCTGAGAGTCCTGGGTGACCCTTTTTCCACTCTACATAGTGGCATTGCCACACACTGCCACAGGGGTTATTCACAAAGTTGCCGAAGGCAGCCGAGTGAATAGCCCAACCGAAGTGAAGTGAGCGAACTATGTTCGGCTATTCACTTCTGGCTTGTACGGCTGATTTCAGCCGTGCATCGGCTGAAATCAGCCATACATCGGCTGCCTTCGGTCAGCCGAACATGCTCTTCATGTTCGGCTGAGCCGAAGTGCAGGAGGACTTCGATTCAGCCGATCCAACATCTGAGATCACGCCTGCCTCTCCCCAGCTTTCATTTGCGGGGCGAAAGGCCGACCTTAGGGTTAGGCCGTTCGCCCCGCTTCGGGTGTCACTTTGGCTCAGTCAAGCTGAAGCATATGCCTTCGGCTCAGCTGAGACGCTCGGCCGCCTTCGGCTGCTGTACACTAAACTCAGGAGTCAAACCTTAGACTAGGTTCACACCTCCGTGACCCGTGACCGTGCAGCAATCGTGCACAAAACCCGCAACCTGTTGAGAAGCCTTCAGATTCAGTGTGATGAGTCTCATTATGCAGTCTCTTATGCATGAGACTTATGCATCTGCTCCCATATGTTGTACAATTAACATAGATTTGTGACCTTTTTAATCATTAACTACACAGTGGGTCAGTCATGGAGGTACAGTGGAGAGATTATTGTTTCACAACTGTTGCCTAGTCCCATTCTTTATTATGACTACACAAGTTTGATCCCAACCAATTATGTCTTATCTATCCCTTTTATGTTTGCATAGTGTGAAGTACAAGTATTGCTTGCAAAGTGCCACAGTATAAAAAGTTTCCTTCTCTGAAAATATCATATATTGTGAAACAAAGCAAAGCTTTACAACATTACTCAGTATGGCCAGACCTGACAGAACTAAGGTTGGACATAAATGACCCAGTTCCAATCCTACCACTAATCCAACACTGCTGGGACCATTTATGGGTTTATGGTGCCTTCTTGGGGTAAAAAACATGCATATCCAATGTCAGAAGCATTGTTATGATTGGCGTTTGTTGACCACATATTGTAGTGATTGCTCATTGGGTGCCCACGTGCTGACTGCATATTTTTTGGCTATAAATTGTCATAATTCCATGTTTGTTGCGTGTGTATTTCTACCAATGCCAATTTGATGCCTGTGTGGTGTAACAACTGCACATTTGCTGCCCATATATTGTCACTATTGTCTGTTTGTTACTCATGTATTGGGACAATTTCCAGTGTGTTATGCAAATATTTTGTCCGCTTATTCACAATTGTGTGTGTTGTCCACATTTCTTTCATGGTTCCCAGTATGTGTCTTATTTATTGCCAAGGCCATCAGGGTACTGTTATTGGGATGTGCAGGAGGAAAGATGTACCCACACTATGTAAGTGGATCTGCTTTCCAGGATGTTTTGGATGTTCTTGATAAGGCTGACGAAAAACAGAAGGGTGCGCCACCGCAATTTGATAGAGTTCAGAACATTGGTTTATTTAAAAGGATCAATATGGTAAAACAGCCAACGCATTTCGGGAGTCAACAAAATCCCCCTTCATCAGGGCTATCTGCTTTTTAGCCCTGATGAAGGGGGATTTTGTGGACCCCTGAAATTGCGGTGGTGCCCCCTTCTGTTTTTTCTTTAAGGATACTGTTATTGTTAGTATTGTGCCTACGTATATTAGTGTTATATTATTATCTGTGTGAGGCCAAGTAAGACTGTTTGCTTTATGGATTATATTACTATATATTACTACCCCAATTACAGGCACCAAAATGTATGATAGGTTCCCCCTGTAGGACCTCAGACTCATGGAGCTACACATGTTCCCAGGTTTGCTGACATGTAGACTTTATTATTTTAACACGTTAAAACACAATTGTTATTCTGTTTTAGTTGTTTATGTGCATACTGACGCTTACAAATTACAAGGATGACACTGTAGCTAACTTTTCATGTGTAGAATTTCTGAAACATCCATTTATTCATTTCAGACTGTATAAAGGAGAGCTGTGTTCAGTTCTGGAAGTGAACTAATCATAGATGTCCTAAGGATTTGACATGGTTAAAGCAGTCTGTTATTCACAGTTACTTCTGGCCAATGCTGGCAGCAAAGGAGAACTTGTCAGTGCTAAGGAAACAAAGCTACATTTATTTCTACCTCTTGCTGTAAATGAAGTCAGCCCACTCCCCCATCCTAGTATTACTCTTTGGCCCCTTCTCTAGTACTGTACCTCATTCTGCACAGCACTCATCTACCCAGAGGTCTAAAGGACACACAGGAGTTTTACAGAAGAATCAGGTAATTTCTCCATTCTTAAATTATAACAATGATTTAAGTTATGGCATGGGCTTTTAAAGCCCTATATATGGCACAATGTTGCATATTAAAATGTAGGCATTGTATGTTACTGGTATGACTAAAGTAATTTATAATAATAGAAACAAATATACTGTACATGAGATGGAGCACAGTTCATATATTAAAGTAACAATAACACTATTTCTGTCCATCTGTGATAATTAGTTAAATCCATTTACGGTACAGCACAGTGACGTAGTAGTTAGCACTTCTGTCTTGCAGCACTGGGGGCCCCTGGTTTGAATCTTGGGCAGGATACTATCTGCACGAAGTTTGCATGTTCTCCCAGTGCCTGTGTGGGTTTCCTCTTACACTGCAAAGACATGCTGGTTGGTTAATTGGCGTTTGTCTAAACTGGCTCTAGTATATGTGTGCAGGTCTAAAGATCCCAACTGCAGCCTCCTACCGTATGGCAGACCCTGGTAACACTATTGAGTGGCCAATGCAGCTCTAGTGCGCATTTCAGACAAGGGTCACAGAAGAAAAAAAAGTAAGCTTGAAGGTTTAATGTGCCTAAAGATCACAACTTTGTCATGGTAGTAGGGATGGGATACAGTGTTCATATGAAAACAAAATATTTAAAATTATACATGATTTTAAAGAGTTTGTATTTTTTTCATATATTAGGGCAGTATTCTAGTTTGGATTTGAATATATTTATTAGGGAAGCATTCATAGTCCCATGAAATGGTATTTAAAACCTAATAATAAACGTCTTTATTTGCTATGTTTTGGTCTGTTAAAGCGTTTTGTTGTATCTGTTGGATAAGTATAGGTGAAACTCGAATAATTAGAATATCGTGCAAAAGTTCATTTATTTCACTAATGCAACTTAAAAGGTGAAACTACATTTGCTCAGGCAGTGGCCAACTGGCAGACATGGGGTTCACCCATAAACATGGGGCCACTTAGTAATAAAACAGCTAGATTAGTTGGCTGTCCTCTCATATGTATGTAGGGAAGACGGAATTACAGCAGACGGAGATTTACTGGAGACCAATCCAGAACTGTGAATTTACGTATGGGCTCATACATTCAAGCATAATTTCACAGCATTTTGTTAGCACCAACCAGCATGTTAATTAAAGAATTGGAGGACGATCACCATACCCTTCAAAAATCTATGTTATTAATTTATAGTTTGCACTTTTAAATTATTTTTAGTTTGTGGTTTCTGACACCTCACGGTTTAAATATTTAGAGGTCTGTATATTCAGACAGGGGATCGCATCACCACAATTGTTTTGCATATAGTTGCGGTATACACTGAGTGTAATGTTTATGGACAATATTTATTTCACTGTTATCATTGGTTCATAAATGGTACCTTAATTTTAATGGTACCTCATTTTTTCACTCTTTATATTTCATAATAACTGTTGTGTGTATCCACAGTTTGGGAATAAGCACATATGTGTCACAGAGAGGAATTTACATTTATAACAGCACTTGATAGTGTTTTAATTTATTTAGTTTAAACACTGAAGGGGATTTAGCGCCGCAAAACCTTTATCCAATTTCTTAGGGATTCCAGCCTGTATTGTGGCAGCTTTAGTCTTTCACTTCAACTTCTTACATTATTAGCAAACCATCCACAAGCGCAGATCAACAGATTACACATACCGCAGTAGCTCGCGGTATACTGCGGCGTCTCAGTAGCTCGCGGTATACTGAGCTTAGGGTGACGGGAGAACACTAGTTTGTGTCCTCCCGTTACCCTAAGGAGAACTATGGGGAAAAGCCTTAACCCCATAGTTCTCCTTTAAGTCACTGGCTCATGAGACTCATAAGAGTCTATTTATAAACAATTAACATAGCTATTTACCCTCGCACAGAACAAACATTAACAGAGATTCACAGGGTGAATGGCTCTGCAAATTGTTAAATAGACCCCATGATGTTTTGGATGTAACATTTAAGTGCAACAGAAACCTGCTACATTGTGTTGCATTTAACTGGAATTCTTTAACCCCTTGCCATCCGCCCATTGTCAAAACACGCATGGACAACAGAAGCTTGTAAGCCAGTGTATGTCATCAGCCATTACCGACTGTTACATACAAGCGATCGGCCGGCTCTATAGTCGGCCGATCACTTGTATAACCATGCACAGTGCGGGCCCCCCACCTCTGCTGCTGCCGGTTATCCCGGGCACCCCTGTCCCCCCTGCGGGCCCAGGACCGAGATCACTAGCACAGAGGCTACTTTTTTACTGAAAAGGAGGAGAGATCAGCATTCCCCTAAAGCTGGAGGCGATGTGTATTACAACACTTCCACCTTTAGCTGTCAGTTCTCTGCTTCAGCAGCTTCTTAGGGGTTCCCAAGGTGACAATAGTGATGTCTCCATAAAGAGGACCTGTCAATGTATATTGGCTATAGCATAGGGGGATTTTTTTAGTAATCAAGTTAAGTGTAAAAACAAAATAATTAAACTCTCATATTAAAAAAAAACCCAGAAAACACTGAAAAAAGCTTTAAGTCACCCGCCCCCACATGCATGCACTTATAAATGTAATTATGCGTCAGATGTGTCTACGTGCAAAAACAACGATTACGCCAGGGATGTTACATATTGCCACAAATGAGTGTGAGCAATAATTTTAGGCCCATCAATCACTGATAATATTAAACTGATGAGCGTCGCCTATGGCCAATTTTAGGGATGGTATTTTTAATGCAATTTTGCGGGTGCACACAATTTTAGAGCTTGACATGTTTGGTGTCTATTTACCAGACGTGACCTCATCTTTTATATTTTATCAAAAAATTGGGTACTGATAAATGTTTTATAACATAACAAAGGAAAACAGTTTTTTTTCGAAATTTGCAGAACTTTTTTCGTTATATAGTAAAAAATAAAAACCTCAGGGGTGATTAAATACCGCCAAAAGAAAGCTCTATCTGTCCCCAAAAAATGATATAAAATTAATTTCAGTACAGCGTTGCATGACGGAATAACTGTCAGTCAAAGTACTTCAGCGCTGAATACTGAAAAAAAGAGGGTTTAACACCCCGGTCAGCAAGTGGTTAAAGCAAACCTTTATCTTGCAAAAAGTGTAAAGCATTGTAATGCAAAGCCAGCACCTTTAGATACCTGTATGTACCTGTCAATGTATCTTCTGATATGCAAAAAGTGTAAACCAGCCATAATAATGTAAACGCACATCTCAATGTATTTTCATGCATCCCAGGAGCACACTAACTTTGGGCTTTAAGGTATTACCTTGCTAAAGTTGAGGGGTGACCTGCCCAAATTAAAGTTTGAGGGTTGACCTAGTTATTAGTCATTGGGCCCATCCATTATGCACAATAAATAATAGATAGGCAAAGGTGGGGGCTGGCAGGTCATTAACTTTAGGACATAAAGTCTATTTTATTAGTAGAAAGGTTTGCTACAGGTATGTGTGTACAATGAGTACAAGACTGACTACATGCTGAGCTGTTAAACGAGCACCAATATAAATGCAGACATACACAGCATTAATTTTAAGTGACATAAAAATAATACAATGTTTTCTTATCCCACGTAAGATGTTATGTCTATTTGAGAGGAACATGTAATGTGTTTTATGCAAATATTTAAAATAGGAAAAACATCATATTTATGAGGTGATTCTTGGAATGAAATTGTAATACTGACATTATTATACTTATACGTAATTCACCAGCCTTGTCACAGCAACACACTGCCCATATATCACATTGCTGCACTGAGAACAAACCCTATTTGTAATACAGTATAATGTTTAGATTAATACTTCTCAGGATCACATCTGTACTGAGAAGTGTGACGTACAGTCATAATTTTTTTGGTTTAATGTTTTCTCCACTGAGATTGCATGAGCTATTGCAAGGTGAATGCATTCCTATGAAGAAATCAGCAGAGATGGAGTGAGTGCTGTTCCGGCCATGGTAGAAGGAGGAGGTGGGTCATCACATCATAGCTGGAAAACCTGCCATATATCTGGAAATCAGGACCAGGGGAAGGATTCCAATGAAGCCTGCAGTGAGTTGAGGCCACTGAAAGGTTCACAAAGCACAAGAATATATGAATCATACATATGTTATATCACACACTTTTGGTGCACACTGGTCCCCCATCCAATTTTATCAAAAAACTCTGACACTTCAAGAATTTCACATCACAAAATATATGACCCCTATAAGCCACAATGGAATGCGTGTAGAAAGTAGTTCCCAGTAATTTAAAGCGGATCTAGGGTCAGATAATATTTTTATGCTAATTGTGTGCATATCAAGCAATATGTAAGTGTAAAACATGCAGATAGTTATGAAACCACAGTGCTCCCCATGAGTATACCTTCTTCTTCTTCTTTTCTCCCCCACAAGGGCAGTGTCATCTTTGTTCAGGCTTCGTCCAAGTCTGTATGTACATATCTTGTTTCGCAAAGATCAGCTTCCTCTTGTTTTGCTACTTGCTAACATTTTACAATCTGTAAAGGAAAAATTCTTACTTCTCCCTGCAGCAAACGGAAGAAAACTCATTCTCCCAGATTACCTCAGTTTAGCCATTGTACACTTACCTGCCTAGAGCTCAAGAATTGATTTTTAACAATAAAAGATAGAGCTTTTTGGAAAAAAAATATACTGTTGCCATATTGTCACTTGTCAAGAATTTGGTCATGCAGACCTGTAAAAAAACTTACAGGTCCACTTTGGAGCTCAACTCTGGGATGTTATTTTTTAAACCTATCTAGTTTTTGAGTAATTTACGTTTGTGAATGACGGGACGGGGGAAAATGAAGAAATAACGGTACTCTCCCGTTTAAAACAGAACATATGGCCAGTCTGGTATTGGGGGAATGAAAAGATGAAACGTGTATTGGCGCATGATGAGATGTTTGCAATGTGCCCACCAGTGCATGTGAAAAAGCTCTGCCTGATTAGTAGCAAACCTGTTACTTTGCCCTGGATAGGAT